CAAAACTTCGAATTATGGAGAAGAAAGTCGATCGAAGTGCAATGGAATCAAATTTTAAATTAATTAAAGATGTCACAGTCGTAGTTGAATTTATGTGGCAACAACCAGAAGAATCTTTAATGAGAAATAAATATGCGATCGCAGATTTGACAGATGATAGCGTGGATAAATTGCAGTTCGTATTTTATAGGTAGTATGTGCATTTAAAAAAATTAATTTCTATATTTCTATATTTCTATAGTAAGGCAGTTACAGAAATGGAAAAAATGTTGTAAATATTATGTAGAGTAGAATGTTATTAGTAACAAAAATATTACACGGTGAATATTTGTGACATATAACAATATTGTTTATATGTTGTTTGCAGAGAAGAAGATATTATTTACAATGAAGAAATCAATCCCATCGCACGCAAAATCGAGTTATCACGTATAATAGGACGTAATAAAGTTGTAGGTCAATTGTTTGATACTGCGGTTAGTCCATCATGGTGGTCTTGCATGTGGCTGAACGAGAGTATTGCTACGTTGTTCGGCGTGTATACAATCAATCAGGTATTTTGTCATGTTTGTGATAATACTTTCAAAGAAAACTGAATATAAGTTTTATTTGAAAACACACGAGAAGAGAAAGAATATTCTTCCAATATTTTCAATGATATTTAAGTTGAACGTAAAGAATTTTGTTGCATTCATGTGAAATCGTTTATAAAATTTTTATTAATTGAATTATATTGTTAAGGATTATTAGACTAATGATAATAAACTAATAATTAAATTATTATTTATTTGACTATACTTGTAATGTCTAGATTATGCCTGAGAATCGAATGTTGGATTTATTCGTAGTCCAGACTCAACAAGAATCTCTTCGTCTAGATGATTCACAACTTATGAATCCTCTTGATTCAGAAATTGACAGTATGTCTAAAATTAATTCTCTCTTCTCTTTCATCTATTACATAAAAAGTATAGAGTACTGAATAAATAAAGAAACAATTAAAACATGTAAAATTTATTTAAAATTATAAAATTTATTTAAAATTTATTTAAAATTTATTTAAAATTTATTTATTTAAGAACTATATCAAAAATAAATTTTTACTTTACATATTTTAATTTACATATTTTTTTTATTCACTGTAAAACGGTCTCGCTTTCCCGCGCGGAGAGCGGTCAGTCGGTTACCAGGAGGAGAAGCGAGGACGTTGGAGAAAGGCGTGATTAAATTGTTAGGCGAGAATGATA